GGTGTGGGTGTGGGTGTGAGTGTGGTGTGGGTGTGGGTGTGGGTGTGGGTGTGGGTGTGGGTGTGGGTGTGGGTGTGTGGGGTGTGGGTGTGTGGGTGTCAGTCATTGGACGAGTACAAGTACAGCAAGTACCAGTAAAACTGAAGATACTTAAAAAATGTACTTTGTACTTTACTTAAATACTTTTTACTTGAGTAAATTTCAGTCAGTAGCGGTACTGTACTGAATTGTACTCAAGTACAGTATTTAAGTACATTAGAGTACTTAAAGCCATAATGTAGCGTAGCTGTACATTTAACACATTGATATCGATGTTAGGATGTGTGATACACACCTAACGTCTATAACTTAGCGACATATTAAGGAAAATGTATATGAATAATCATTATCACGATCACTCAACACTCGAAATGGTCCTGTGTAAGCTATTTGACTTTCTCCAGTGGCTGCTATAGGTTTAGACAATTGTGGTGCTTTTGACACATGTTGAAAACCATCGAGTAAGACGACAAAATCAGGTTCACTCAATGCCAAATGAATATCAGGATCATAAATAGGTTCATCAGTATAAAGTTCACTATCGAGATCGACGAGAAGTGGCGGCATTAAAACTTTGCTATTTTTTCTAGTGCTCATATTGCTTAACACGGTAATCACTTTAATGTGTTTTAACTTCTTCCACAACTACGAATGACAGCAAGGACCCTGTTGTATTCTACCTGTATAAAGCATGAGATAAGAGTAACATCGATAACACAAAAAAAATAATCTTAGAAGTGTTAAAGGAATGTGTCGTTCTCTTTCTCTTTCAATAAACATTGGTTATCACATGTAAATCATCCTTACAGACTAGAGGTTGTTTTGCTGTGCATTTTTGAAACGATAACGTATTTTTTTTTATGTGAAAAGCTTATCATTGTAACGGAAACATCAATTTTGTCGAATATAAAAAATGTCGATCGCAAATTTGATTAAAAAATGTCGATTGTTGTATTGTCAAGCTTCCTTTCGATGAATTTCAAATTCAGTTATAACCATCTAAAATCTGACTTGAAATCAACTTGAAATCATGTTGGAATCAAGTAGAAAGTCTTCGATTTGGTCCTAATTGGAAAAATGTGTCACTAACTTCAAAGAAACATCACAAGAGCGGCAGTGAGAGTGAGGGTGAACAGGACTGAATCGGAGGTAAACCAATCAAGTTGATTTCAACTTGATTTCACGTCAGATTTTAGGTGATTATAATTGAATTTGAAATTCATCGAAAGGAAGCTTGACAATACAACAATCGACACTTTTTAATCAAATTTGTCGAATCGATAAATTTGCGATCGACATTTTTTTGTATTTGACAAAATTGTAGGCACTCTCATTGCAATTCACGTAGAGCCAAAGTACAGAATAAAGATCTGTGAGTGACGATATCACACCACCACGTCTTGGAATGATGCTAAAATTTATGACGGTGGAGTCAAGATGAGACTCTGGCAGATTTGGTGGTTGTTTTTCATCTCCTGACGATAACTATTCTTTCTTTTCAAGAATATAGCTAAATCTATAGAAATGAGAAATTATCATTAGTTTATCTGCATTTGAAATAGTTCATGTATAAATATAGATTCTCTAAAGGTTGAGAACAGAATGTTTTTTTTTTATTTTAGTTTTTGATGTTATCAGAGAGTGTAAACATACGAAAAAATCAACACATGTTGCATATAATATCAGTATTGTTGTTTGTCACTGAATTTCTGCCATTGGCATAGCTGATTTACTCTTGTCTTCAGAAGATGACATCGTCAAAAACAATGGAGCAATAGGTTGACCATTAGCAAACAAATAGATGTTTTCTCTTTTTCCTTTCTAAACAAAGTGCAGTCTTAGCAAAGTCACCACCACTAGCAGCATCCATGGTGAAGTCGTTACGATAGCCCTGTAAGAGCGATATGAAGACTCTGTAAAAAATCGATACGAAAGCCCTGTAAAAATTTCATATGAAAGCCATGTAAAAAAATCAAAAAAAGCAGGGCTTTCGTAAAGAACCGTTACGAATCGTTACCTTCTCATAAAGTTTTTCTTTTGTTGCATCTTTTTTTATTCAAACCCTTTAAGGTCATGCAATCATCTTATTTGCTATAGAACAGTAGCATAGGTGTTACTCTATATAAAGAATATAGAACGAAGAAAAAGTAAATTTAACATTTTCTTTGTACTTTTGTGGGATTAAATGATAGAAAAATACGAAGAAAAGAGAAGATAAATAACTCGTGATTTATAAGTCCGAACTATAAAAAGATATGAAGAAGATAAGTATCTTTGTGTGCATATATATTTCTATAGTCCATAGTGTGTGGTCCATTTTTCATATTTGTCCTTGTGTTAATTTTTCAAACAATTACTCTTCCACGACAACAAACGTGTATGCTATTTCATCGCAATCATTTATAAAAAATCCATATATCTATCACTTATCTGGGATTACTCCTGAAACAATCGAAACCTGTTCTCGTTTTCTTCAATATAATCATGAACATTATCATATTTTCTTTAATAGTGAACGTCACTTCCATAATCATGCCACGCATCATCTTCTAGCTGCATTAGGTCTTGGTGCTTCATCTCGTACATTAGAACATATTTATGAACAACAGAAACAAATTCAACAACCTATACGTCCACTTCAGGATAACAAAGACTTTGATGTGAACAAATATTTAGGTGATGAAAATTATTACGGTAACTATTTGGAATTCTTTCAAAAAGAATTAGAAAGTGAGAAATATCATGGAAAAGTTGAAGATTTAATTGAAGATTATTTATTCAATAAAGATTTTCTCGATCTTATATTCAATGGTGCCTATCATCCATTTATTCATCTTGGATATGCCTTGGAATTTCAAGTGAAAATAATGGCAGTTGAAGGATTATCAATGGCAGCCGTTGATCGAGGCAATGTCAAAGATGTCTTAAAACATTTGAATTATAATCAGAACAAAGATGGCAATAAGACAGCTTTAGACATTATTGAATTAATTATCAACGATCAACGTTTTGACGACAAGGTTTTTTACAATGATGAAGGAACTAAAGTGAATAAATTATTAGAACGAGGTGGTGGTCCATTGATTGCAGAATATGCTCAAAGGTGGAAATGTGATTTAGATGATCTTAGACGAGCTAGTGTTTTGGTAAATGCAGCTGTCATACGACCGAAGAAAGCACTTCATCTCGATTTTTTCCTAATGCATGCAACAACAAGTGGTTTATTCTTAGACATATTTGTTCATTCATTGAAAAAGAAAGAAAATCAATTGAAATTCTTAAAAACTAAATTTGCAGTTGATCTTCTCTACTATGTTGCACGTGGACGACCAATGTTAAATGTAAATTATTTACTCAATGAATATCAACCATCGAAAGAACATTCATATTCAGATGCACAAAATCCATGGTTACCTCTCATTGATAAATGTTTAACACATCGAGATGTGCATCTAGTAAAGACGATAAGAGCATTGGTTTATGCTGAAAAATTTGATCGTGCACAAGAGAATAATAAAATGTCCTATTTAAAAATAGCACAAATGACAATGGATGCTCTCTTTCCAGACTATGAAAAAACCTGGTCTCATGAAGGAGTTGGTTGGGAAGAATATTGGAAGACAGTGAAAGATTCATAAATAGAATATGATTGGACAAAGGCAGTGAAACCTTTTTTTTTTATATTATTCAAGACATTTTTGCTTAGTTTATAAACGAATTTTGTAGTTGACTAGTTAAAAGAAATACAGCTTGATCTTATATAGAACTAAAACATAGTTTGTCGAGTTTTAATAAAGGACGAAGGCGGATAAGGGCATTTTTCTGATTCAAATAAAATGTATGCTTATCGATAGAGTCGAGTGTGCTGATTACGAATATCAGTATTAGAAAGTCCATAAATGGTTTCTTACAATGGAGGTACCTGCACTGTAACGCAGCTCCGCAATGTATTTTCATATCAAATTAAAGCACTCACGGCCAAACTTCCAAATTCAAAATATGACGTGCTGACGGCGCACTTGGCCTAGGGATAATCGAATTTCAAAGTATATACAGCCTATAGGACCCTATAAGCCCCTATAGGGTCCCTACAGGACCTTATAAGCTCCTATAGGGGCCTAGAGAGGCTCTATAGGATCACTATACGGCCCTAGAAAAGCCCTATAGGACTCCTATAGGGGCTTATAAGATCCTGTAGGGACCCTATAGAGGCTTATAGGGTCCTATAGAGGCCCTATAGAGATCCCTATAGGACTTCTATAGGCTGTATATACTTTGAAATTCGATTATCTCTAGGCCAAGCGCGCCGTCAGCATGTCATATTTTGAATTTGGAAGTTTGGCAGTGAGTGCTTTAATTTGATATGAAAATGCATTGTGGAACTGCGTTACAGTACAAATACCTCCATTGTTAGTGAAAAAAAATCATAACATACCCAGATAGTCTTTATAGCTAAAAACTCAACTTTTAACTTCCCAATCTGTCACTTAATCCCAGAATCTATGAAAAAGTGTCATTACATATGTAAAATTATACGTTCTATCTGAATATGAACAGAAACTCACTCGCACACACAATGATTTTGTCTAATACTTTGAGATTAGGGGTCCCAATTCGCTTCTTGTCATCCCATACGATATCTTGAGACCCCTGCCTCTTTATAAAAGAGGTCAGAAGCAATGTCATATTTTGGCAGTATATGTAATTTTTCATGCTTTATCAATCTGTAGTATTTAAAGAGCGGAAAAAATTGTGCATCATGGTCAAAAGTTGCAAAAACCTCAGTTTTTCGCTATTTCAATAAGGAAATTTTCAGATAGATCGTATAGTTTTACTTATATTGTGTAAATTTCACACAGATCCTAGAGGCTAAATGGCCGATTGGGGGGCTAGAAGCTAAGTTTTTAGCTATAAATATCATCTCCAAATATTCAGATTTTTTTAATAATAAAGCACTTATGCGCTTTCTAATACTGATATTCGTAATTAACACACTCGATTCTATCAGTAAGCATACATTTTATTTAAATTAGGAAAAAAATTTTTTTAATGATCCCTGTCGGGAACCACAAGGTTCCAAAAATTTTTTTTCAAGCTGTTTCAAAATTGACTCATAAAATATGATCAGTCCTTTGATGAAAAACTTATGTAAAAGAATTTATCTACTATTAATAATATCATCTTTATCCTTATCTGTTTTTGTTTATTAAAATTGTGTTCATTATCTCTGTATATGACTTTCGATACGCTTGATTACCTTTTCTATCTATCAATCCCATATAAACATGTGTTTATTATGAATGTTAAATAAAGTAAACAACCTTATTTCAAAGCATTTCTTCGCTCAAATTCGTCATAATAATTGAAAATTTTTTTTTTTGATTTTAATATGAACCAACCAAAACTATCACCAATGATCAATGATAATAACGAAAAAGATTTACAGAGTAAGTTTCAATAGATTTTTCTTAATAATATCTTTTCTATTTTTCTAGTAACAATAATGATTCAAATAAGTCAGTTAAAATAAAAATATTCTTTGCTTTTTTTCTTTCAAAATTTGAAATTTATGTTTTTGATTCATCAAAAATCATCAATCACACACTTTGAAGACCTTTCGAATATATTTATTACAAAGAATGAGAGTCACAATAAAACTATTTACCAAACCAATTCTTTTCCATCGAAACTCCAAAATCTTCCACTTGTCTTTTCTCTTGTTGCTCCATCGATAATCTTCAATTGCCCTTGAACACTATCTTCAATTGTCACTGGTGCTTGATCCAAACCAATGGCCTTGACTCCAGCATTTCCCATATCTGTTTGAACCAAACCAGGATGCAAGGGAAAGGCAATGAGACCATCTTTTTCATGTTCTTGATGGATTTTCTTTGTCACATAATTAACAGCTGCCTTTGATGCTCCATAGGCTGTTACCGGCACGGAATACATATCTCCAATCGAGGCTAGAGCCGTGGAAATGACCACGAATTTTGGTGCACCCGACTTGCTCTTTTTCAAAAGAGGATAAAGTGCCTGGAAGAGAATGAGGGGACCAAGTAGATTGACTTCATAGTGATCACGAATTTCTTTGATTGGAGTAGTCATGAGTGGACCGTAATAATTACTGATGCCAGCATTGGCGACGATAACATCGACATAGCCAGATGTCTTTTCGATCTTTTCTGCTGCTGCCTTGGCATCATTCTCCGAAATTGACTCGAGTTTGACAATGTGAATATTTTTTGTCAATGAATTTAATTTTTGAAGTTCATTAGCATTGTTAGGATTTCGGACACCAGCATAGATTACTGTATTAGGTCGTTTGGCAAGAGCTTGAACGAATCCAAGACCAATACCTCGATTAGCACCCGATATGAAATAGATTGTTTGTCCTTGTGAAGACATAATAAGTGTAGTAGTATATTGTAAATCAAGAGAAACTAGATGAAATGCCTATTTATATAGGCAAAATAAAGTGCACTGGTAAGCATGACAGTGCTTGTTTACGTATCTGGTTGTTCTCTTGCTTTCTATGTATGTATATGTTTATGCGTCATGTTCTCTCTAACGTAGGAAAGGAAAGAAAAAAAACATGCTGAGTCATTATTACATGATCTATTTCTTGCGTGAATAGAGACAATGATACAGTTCTCTCTATCCATTGATGTCCTATGTAATCGTGACTACATTAAGTCACTTTATCATCAAATAAAACATGTTTTATTAGTAGAATATGCAATGTCATTATCTTCATAGGATCAAGAGAACAAAATAAATATCTATTTTACAGATTCCATCTGCCTTACTACATACCATGATACAATGAATCGGATAAAACTAACCGAAAGGGGAAAATGTCGATTGTATAAAAACATTAAAAGAAAATTCGAACGCAATATCATTTCTTTTTATTATGTTCACTAGAAGAAAATAAGACTCTCTAAGATTACGATATCAGGATAGGATTTCCGGAACTCTAATTGAACTTCGATAAGACTGTAGTGGAAATATCGAACTTTTTTTTCCAATTTTTCAGGCTTCATTGTAATTCTAAAAATCTTTGAAGTTCTACTTTTTCTTTATTGTCAGAAGATTTCATCAATATTTATTCGAATACGATTGAATTTTTGTTTTAGACGATATACAACACGATTGACGAATTCTTGTGGCACTTCGACGACTATTTTTCTGACATTGTGGAGGAATCTCAAAACATGCAATTGAATCAGATTCGTTACACTGACAATATCGGTTTCTCATGTTGTTGAAAATTTTCATACATTGTTCGTCTTATCGTCTTTTCTACATATTGAACGATTATAAGACTGGAAATTCTGATTGAATCTATCGTTAGTTTTCAATATTTATCAAATGAATCGTTCGAATTCATGTGTCGATTGGAAGATGAGAAAAAAAATTGACGATCGGATCCAAATCTATTATTGATCAGAATCTACGATGGATAAACAATGAGTTTACTGACCATTTCGATGTTTCTTGTATTTATATGTGGATGAAAAAGCAAATATTCGATTACTAGGAGAAAATTCATTTCATACGAATTATTTTAATGAACTATTAATTAAAATCCAAGTTAAAGACGCTATTCGGATTATTCAAAGATAGAAGATAAGATAAACGTTTTAGTGGTCTTCATTCAAAAAATCGAAAGCGCTTATTGATTCACTCGAATTATTAACCATTTATTTTAAAGAACTTGTTTATTTGAATATATTAGACTGAAAATCAATATAACTAAAATATCTAACTATTCTTACTTCTATCTGTGTAAATCTTCAAAATGAATTTCTTGATCTGATTGAATAGTATCATCTTTGATATATAACAATTAATCGAATATACTACAATACAAAATCAACGATATTAAATGAAACATTTTCTTACCTCAGTAAAACTGTTATGTGCTCAAAAATCTCGTCCTTTATTTTGATATACACCAGTTTTTTTTCTTTGTTTGTGGTGTTCTATTAAAACACAAAAAAAACAAATCGCTCATGATGATGATATGCCTATCTCGGAACAGTACGTTGAAAATGATCTTTTCAATCTTTTTCAATGCGCATTCCATTTTTGTATATGTACATATTCTTCAATTAAAATAACACGTTTAGTATCTAAAAAAAAAGAGATTCAATTGAAATTCGAAATTTTTATTTCGGATTACCTCACCTCGAGTAATAAAACAACCTCCTGGATCAAGTGTATATGACCTAAAATATTCAATTCATTGAAAAATCAACAAATTATCTTCCAATTATTGATCCTTGTAGTATGAAGTATGAATTCTCTCATGTGTATTCAATATAAAGACAAATCATAGCTGAATAAGACATACGATGAAGAAGAGACGAATTTAAAAAAACAAAAGATTTCAACTTAAATAAAGATTATTTCATAAGATGTTATTGATCGTATTGTCTTCAATAGATGATCAAAGAACTTCAATATTGAAATATACCACGCAAGCAAAAATTAAGGGAGGATGCCCGACATGACTAGTCTCAAATGTCCGCACTACCGTTTGGTCTAGTCTGAAATGATTTGCAGCCCGTCACGACTAGTTGTCTTGACGCACAAAGTCTTGCAACTTAATATAACCCCCCCCCCCCCCCCCCCACCCCCCCCCCCCCCCCCCCCATATTACAAGGGCCCCCCTTATTAGAAGGCCCCCCAAAAAGTTCTGAATGATTGCCTTAATAGAAGGTCCGGGCCTTGTATTAAGGCTATGATTCTACTTCGCCTTTTATGGCAATTACTTTGAAGTTCTAGTGAGTGATTTCTTGTGTGATTATATGTATCGTGCACTAATATGTCGCTTATTATACATATATCAATTTTGCAATGCTGCCAGATATGCTAAAAATTCTACTGCAACCTATTGGAAAATTAGACGTCTTTTTGACAATGTATGTCATAGATTCCTAATAGAAGGGCCCCCTAAATAGAAGGCCCCCCTAAAAATTTTATGTGCTCCGCCATTATAGAAGGCCCCGGGCCTTTTAATTGGGGGGGGGGGGTTAGACTAGTTCGAAACATGCTCTCATTCTGTCATGACTAGTCCGTTTTGTATAATCATACTGTCCGAACGCGTCAGCATAACTACAAAAGTCAAAAGAAAAGGAGACGATAGATGGATTCGAACATTCGATCCGACAATATTGGATACCTGACTAGTCTACACTCTAAAAAAAAAAGGAGTTTTACCGAACCCTCCAAAAAGGTTCCGTAGATGCTTAAAAGCTTCTAAATACGTTCAAACGCTTAAATAGATGATTATCAAAATCTACGAAACCTTAAAAGGATCTCGCCGCGGGTACACCGCCGGAACCATCTTCTACGAAACCTTTTTTAAGTTCCGTAGGGCGAAAAAAAGTTTCGTAAGAAAATACGAAACTTTTATGGTTTCGCAGTAGGGTTTTGGACGAAACCATAAGGTCCACTACGAAACCATAAAAGTTTCGTATTTTCTTACGGAACTTTTTTTCGCCCTACGGAACTTAAAAAAGGTTTCGTAGAAGATGGTTCCGGCGGTGTACCCGCGGCCAGATCCTTTTAAGGTTTCGTAGATTTTGATAATCATCTATTTAAGCGTTTGAACATATTTAGAAGCTTTTAAGCATCTACGGAACCTTTTTGGAGGGTTCGGTAAAACTCCTTTTTTTTTAGAGTGTAGATTATTTTCAATAGCAATCCGGACTAATATGAAGAGTTATTTGTACTAGTCATGACTAGTTGTTTTGAAGGAACTAGTGGTAGTTTTGATTTACAGTAGTCTAAACTTCTTAGACAGTCTCTTTTAGTTGCACTAAATTATCCGAGCAACTCATTTAGACTTGTTCATATGGAGACTAGAATGATGTATCCAACGAGAGTTGCCTATTTATGTCCTTTAAATTTGTAGACTGTAATAGCAATTAAGAATAATTTTATTAGAACAATCAATTTTAGTATTTTTCTATGAAAATATTATTTTATCTTAATATAAAATCTAATAATTTGAAGTTAAAAGGAGATTTAAATCATAGAATTATAGTTTATTTTCAAATTTAAATCCGAAATATTTTAAATCAAGATAAACGTAAACTATTATATGAATGGCAAGATTCTTTTGAAAATATGCGTTATTTTTACTTTCTTTTGAAATGTTAATTGTTTTTCACATAGAAAATAATATTTTCTAAATGTTCATGTTAAAAAAAATTCTTTTGAAGGAAATTTAAAAAATTCTTAATTAATTTTATAGAGCTTTATTTAGCTAATTTGCGATTTTATAATAAACATTTTTTATGAATATTAAAACTTGAGAAAGTGTAAGTCAAACTATATTAATTAGTATCTTAGAATGTTTATTGACATATTAAAGTTGATCACTTGATCATATGGTTTAATCGGGTAAACTATGGATAAGCAACATGTGCTATGCATGTTCGAATCTAACGCTGTGCACATACTTCTATCATTTAGGCTAGTTCGGACTAGACCACTAAATAGAACTAGATCCTGATAGATGTCGCGTCACTGATGCTCTTCCTGTTGTAATTTACAATCTACTTCGGACGGGTTCCCAGACGGGTGCTAAACATTCCAAACGATTTCGGACTACACTCTAAAAAAAAAGGTTTTGTCGGAAACCTATAAAGGGTTTCCGGGTTTGTCACTATATGAAACCCTTTATAGGTTTCCGAGAAAGGGTTTCCGAGCTCTCGGAAACCTTCAAAAGCAATGAAAAAAGCTCGATCTCGGAAATCTATTGAAGGTTTTCGAGACTTCAAAAACCTTCAATAGGTTTCCAGCAGCTACGCACTACCCTTATTCTATCCCCTTATTCTAATCCTTTAATCTATCCCCTTATTCTCACCCCTTATTCTGTCCTCTTATTCTAATCCCCTATTCTATCCCCTTATTCTAATCCCTTATTCTATCCCCTTATTCTAACCCCTTATTCTATCCCCTTATTCTAACCCCTTATTCTATCCTCTTATTCTAATCTCTTATTCTAACCGCTTAATCTATCCCCTTATTCTAACCCCTTATGTTAATCCTTTATTCTATCCCCTTATGTTAATCCCTTATTCTATCCCCTTATTCTATCCCCTTATTCTAACCCCTTATTCTATCCTCTTATTCTAATCTCTTGTTCTAACCGCTTAAGGGTGTGGGTGTGGGTGTGGGTGTGGGTGTGGGTGTGGGTGGGTGTGGGTGGGTGTGGGTGTGGGTGCTGGCTTTATTTTTATCCACATTCACACCCACACCCACACCGCACACCCACACTCCACATCCACGCCCACACACCCACACCCACATCCACACCCACACACCCACACCCAAAATTTTGATTTGAATTTAGTGCTGGAAATGATTGTTTTAAATCTATATTCAATTTAAATTTGGATTAAAATTTCTATATATGCAGATTTTATTGTACCACTCGAGAAGATCTGTTAATAAGATCGAAATCGCGATCGTGGTAGTTATTATTTTGAACTCACCCTCACCCCTCTCATTGTTGGAGATACATTTTTTCCGACACTTACATAATATTAAACATGAGCAGGGGTAATAAGATAAATGACTCAAAGAGAGGGGCTATGACTAATTGCCGGCGTTCTTTCCTCTTCGTTCCTACCTATATCTTATAGATATATATATACACTGACGGTAGTGCGTCGTCAATATTTGTTTTTGTTTTGATTCACGATCGAACATGATATTTCGAACCACTCTTGTTTCTGTGTGACAAAGAATGGAGAAAAGTAACTGCTACAGGTAGTGCAAAGTTAGAAAAAACCTTATCTTTTCATTTTTTCGTTTTTCATACACTTGATGATAAAAGGTCTGTAGTTCTGGTGTTCTTCAACATTCTCTCTTTCAGTTTATTCGCAGTAGTTGGTCTGTGACTTATATATCAAAATTACAATGAAGGAGAATACGACTACCAAGTTTTAACAGCGACACAGGGTCTGAGGAAGCCGTAGTCATTGGATTTTCTTTCTTATGTCCAACATATTTTTACGTGAAAAGTAAGTAGTGTTTAGTTTTTTGCTGTCTTCTTCGTGATTATCTCGTCCCAATATATGCTGCCATGATGTTGATCTCTTATGACTGATATGAGGTTAATAGTAAGGATATGGATGAATCAAAATCTGTTCTTCGGTTTTTTATTTCTATTTCAGATAAAATACATTTATCAGCTTTTGAACAGTTCTTATCGACTTTCAATACGTGTTTGTAATCGTTTGGTCAACAATTAATTCGTTACTTGTAAGTATTGCGATTATGATGATGGGTACAGTGGATGATTCACTTTGAAAGGACTTGCAACTATCAAAACCGTCTTTTCGATAATTATATATGTTAAACTAAGATCCTACGCGTGTTCGACTTTTCAGACTCCACTTAGATCCAACGCCTTTCTTTCGAACCCGATTCCAACATGAAACCTTTTCCAGAATTTGTCTTCTACCCAACTCGACTCTAGTGCTAATTCCAATGTTTCATGAGGGCTAATTTTTTATTTCCACAATAATAATTCAACGCCATTCATGTTTTTTTCTGCCATATTGTGCTAGGCTAATAACGTTTAAACTAGCAACTCAATATGAGCTGTCTTTTCTCGTTAAAAAACAAAAATCTCTTTCGATGAGTATGTGGTTTCCGCACTTTTTTTAGGGTGTCTTTTGTGGAAACTGTGACATAATATAAGAAGGAGTCATGAAATACAGCTTGGAGGCAGTCATCTAAGTATGAGGAACATGTATGAACTATTTAATTGGATAAAGTGTCAAACTTCACATACCTTTTATGGTGAAATCACTTGTTAATCGTTCTCATATCTGATCATTTTTCGAAAGTTACAAAAAGAATAGATCTGATAACGTCAGTTAAAAAGTCTTTCAACTTCATTCAATTCATTGAATAAAAAGATGTCATGAATTCAATCTAATTCATTGCATAAGTATTGGCAAATTTTCTTAATTCACTGCGAATGAGTCCAGAAGACTTAATAAATATTTTAAATTAAATTTACAAAATGAACTGACTTGAAAAGAATAGCATAGTGTTAAATCGAACTCCTTTTCAAACTGTAGTGTTCAGCTCTAAAAAGTATACAGTTTTTTGTCCTAATTATTTTTTAGATACTTCTCAAGCAAACTGATAGATCAAAAGTAGATTAGGTATAGTCGAAATCTGATGTATCGTTCGTTTTTCTCTTTAAGAGCGCATCGCTCGCTTCAATTATATTTCCTAAAATAGCACTTACACTTTCAATAGTATAAATTTACAGGCAAAAGCATCGGATTGTCGTTCTATTTAATGCCAAACATCCAAAAAGCTATCAGAAAGAAGTTTAATCTATGATTTCACAGTGGAAAAACGACAGGAATCGACAGCAATCAAAGAAATTCGAGAAATCAAAATTTTAGGTTTTCCCTCTGAGCTTGCGTGGTATTAGATAGAATACCAGAAAATATCAAAAACAACAGGGCAGGATCGGTGAAGAATAAAAACAGTTACATATTCATCGACTACCACGGTCATTTTCTTCCATAATACTGCTGTCACAGATCGTAAGTGAAGTGAACTGAACTTGAGTAAGGAAAATTCAATACGTTTCTGATCCATAAAAGCGACGAGTTTAAAATGTCATGTAACACTGAAACAAGCCACTAGTTGGAGAGCCCCCAAAATAAATGAGAAATAAGGATGAAAAGTGCACAAATACCGCATACTTTAAGCTTTTTATTCAATGGAACTGAAACTAAATCGAATCGAATTCTCAACCGAAAACTTCGTTTGGTGTTGGTCTCTGATTGCTATCGGCTCACGTCAGAGCATGACTTAAATTTGTGCAGAGATATAAAATGTAAATTTGATTGCTACATAGGATGCTAAAAAGCTTTCCTTATTTATATTGTTTCAAAGAGAATAAAAGTATGAATTAGTATCGTTTAAATTCTAGTATTTGAATTTAAGGCACTCCCTCCTCCCCACTCAAAAACTGGTCTCAGCTCAGGTACGTTTAAATGGACTGAAATTTGGAGTATATGTTGTGGCTGAAGTGAGGAAGCTGTGGTAAAATTTTCAGCTCGATACCATGATGTTTGACAGAGATATGAACCAAACAATGGTAGAAAAATAGCTCATTTTGCTTCCAAGATTTCTCGATCCACGCTCATGCTATATGTTTAATTTTTTTTGTTCATCAAGAGCACGCCAGGATGCAGGGCACCACAGAGTCCTTCTTTTCAAATTCTTACTTTTTTAGCGGAGAAAGGGGATCACAAGTTCAATGACTCCAAAAATAGGTGCCTAGTTACATAAGTGTCTGTATATGTAATAAAAATTAAGCTTAATTTAAAAAAACGGGACCCTATGGTGCCCTGCATCTTGACATGCTCTTTCAAACAAACATAATATATAAATATATCGAATAAGCCTGAACCAAGAAATTTTCGACACAAGATCAAAAAAATGGTAAACCGAGAAAAATGAAAAAGATTTTTCGTTTTTTTTACAAAAAGCCTGTTTTTCGACTAGAATATCGCGGAAACCATCAAAAATCTTACTAGAAACTAGGCATCAGGAGAAAATTCATACTACTTCTGAAAAATCTGATGACGGGCTGTCTTCTTATGCATTTATCTTCATTTCGATGTTTATGACAAAGATGAACTTTTTTCAGAGGAGGGCCTTAAAAAGCAATATCAATGAATCTCGAACCATGTGCATCCAGACAACAGCGAGAATCGATAGATGATGAAGTCAAAACGTCTAGAAAAAAGACAACATCAACGGACGGCAAAACATCCATAATCAGCAGTTGCTATAGACACATTCAATGGATGTGGAATTCAAGCGCGGATCCGTTTTCGAAGTCTCAACCAGTTGAATGGTATCCTTACTCTGATATAGAAAATGAGATCATGGAAGAAGCATTCACGGCTGGTAAAGCTCATATTATGTTGGACGATTATCATATTGATTTTAAGCACAAACTTCAAATCTTAAACAACGATCTTAAAAGACAACGACCTATCAAACGAATGGAATACAATGGTTATGAAAAGCGTGTGCGATCGGAAAGATTTTTACCAAATCCTATTGCCCCGCGACGTCCCTATGGTGGTGTGTATGGCTTTATTTCACCTTTTGTAAAAGAAGTAGCAAAAGATCTAAACCTAAAAAAAAATCAACTGCCTTCGAAAAATCCGGACATCGTTTCGACGATTGTAGAAAAAGCTGCATTGGGTATTATTGAAGCAGGCAAAGAGGCTGGAAAGCAAATTGAAGCTGAACGTATAGCTAAGATGTTAAGAGAAAAAAAAGAAGTAGCAGAAATGAAGGAAGTATGGATATGCTGTGCTCATCTCTATACGATGGACACATTCTTATTCAAAAAAATAAATGAGGCTATGCGACTGATAGGAAGTGAAGAGCATGAAGAAATCTGGCGAAGTAAAGTACACACATTGGGTCCATTTTGTCTTCTTCTGTGGGATAATCCATTCAACAGTAAATCAGCCAAGCCAGGAACAATACTTTATCGTGGAACTCAACTGTCTGATGATTTGATTGCCTCGTTCGAGGATGATTGTTCGAAGAATCCAAAACCACCGCATTCATTCCAAGCGTTCACTTCATGTACTCGAGATCGCAATGTAGCAGAGATGTTCGGAAATACCTTACTTATTATGAAAGTCAGCCTTGCTTTTACTGTTGATCTTAAAACATATTCAAAGTTTCCTGATGAAGAAGAAGAGCTATTATTTCCTGGTGTTTGCTTCACCATCGATCAAGTGAATATTGACAAAGACAAACATTTGATCTACTTAACTCTTCAGCAAAGGCACAACAGTAAGTCAGCATAGCCTTTCACTGAATTTTCATTTTAACTTTCACTCATATATTTTGCTCACATTTTCCTTTTATCGTACGTTCCTGTTGCTCTGCTAACTGTCTCCCAAAAAGTCAAACTTTTAGCACATTTCATATCAAAATTAGAAAAATGCAACATTCAAATGTACCAAATAAGAGCATTCTAATGAGAGAAGTGTAAGGAAGTAAATATGATAAAATCTATATAATCAGTTAATGAGGGGCTACCAGGACTAGGGGTAAGAAAGTTATTGTTATTTCTTTTGTTATTATAACAATAACATTCACTTTTTGATTCAAAAACTTTAATGAACCAAGTGTAAGCATAGTTTGTGCGTAGGTCAAAAAATCACTTTATTTATACAGTATCTTTATTACCATTTGATATAAGAACCAACCGTATATATTTTACGATTTCTCAAAAAATTTACGACTGGATCTTATATCAAATAGTAATAAAGATACTCTATGAATAAAGTGATTTTTTGACGTACGCACAAACTATGCTTACACTTGGTTCATTAATGTTTTTGAATCAAAAAGTGAATGTTATTGTTATAATAGCAAAAAAAATAACAATAACTTTCTCATCCCTAACCAGCACGTACTTTTTTGGAATATATTTCTTCTGTAGGATTTATTAGGATTTATTAACTGTGTCAAGATTTTCGTGCACCATCAGTCGACTGCTCCTCCTCGCCCTCACCATCGAGATTGTGCGGGAGCTATTTCAAAATTTATAGGCATTTTTTAATAAATCCTAATAAGTCCCAAAAAATAAGTCTCGGTAGCTGCTAGGATATAGTTACACAAAAACGAATGCAGTCATGTTGATCGATGATTTCAGCACCATTTTAACAGATTCTTTTAACGATTTCTTGTAAGCAGTTTGCCGAGCTAGGTGTCACAAAATTTTTGAATCGTTCGTCAAATTTATTGTTGTTTGCAGCTGCATATGAGATAAAATAGCTGGAGAATCTCAACAATTATGTTCCACAAAATGCCGCTAACTAGTGGTTTTCGACTCACTAGTTTTGTTATACATATAACATCTAGAATAGACTCTTTGCTGGTCTTGTAATATCTGCTACAAAATATCTGAAACCTTTTAAAGCCATTTCTAGAAAGAAAAAGAAATTGAAAGCCGTCCCATAATCCACCAAATATCATCAACGAAAATTTCGTTTGTACCATGTAGATCAAACTGGAACTCCCTCAGAATGATGGTACAACGCGAAGAAATATTACATGAAACATCAAGTCAGAGAGAATAGCTCTAAAGAAGAAATGGTCAAAAAAAGTGAGCTCCACACGTAAACTCCAAATTTGGAGCTCACTTACGCATCCATATTTTACCAATTCATACCAGTCCATTCCATACACACGATACCTAACAGTCCCATCTCATCAACTCCAGTCATAGACTATCAGCATATCTAACCGTAAATTAGTTACTTACTTAGTACTCACCTAAATTAATACTCACGCTAATGAGTGCTCACCTTAATTAGTACTCACGCTAATGAGTTCTCACCCTAATTAGTACTCACCTTAATTATTACTCACCTCCAAGGGTCCTGAAGGCCTACTATAGTGGGGTAGCCTTGAATCCTCAAGACCTACTATAGGGGGGTACCCTTGGGTCCTCAACGCCTACTGTGGAGGGGCCCTTGGGTCCTCAAGGCCTACTATAGGGGGTACCCTTAGGTCCTCAAGCCATACTATAGGGGGGTACCCTTGGGTCTTCAAGGTCTACTATAGGGGATACACTTAGGCCCTCAAGGCCTACTACAGGGGGCTACCCTTGGGTCCGAAAGGCCTACTATAGGGGTACCCAGAAGTCCTCATGGGCTATCCTAGGGGGTACCCATAAGTCGCCATGGGCTATCCTATAGGGGTAACCACAAGTCATCCTGGGCTATCCTATAGGGGTACCATAAGCCCTCTTGAGCTCTTCTAGGGGGTACCAGTAAGTCGTCGTGGGCTATCCTAGTGGTACCCCTTAGTCGCCAGGGGCTATCCTATAGGAGTACCCATAAGTCGCCATCAGCTATCCTAGGGGCGTACCGTGGAGTTCTTGGATGCTGCTATAACATTAATTTCCGACATAATACTAAAGAAGCAATCAGAAATCTGCATGTTCAACAAGGAACCAATGAGATTGAAAGTTTCTATTTCTCAGTGATAGAAGTGACGGAGGTCCACACATATACCCCTCATTCGATAGAGAATCCTCGATAACCCTAGGATCCGCCCCAACATGTCTAGCGGTTGTCCAAACAATAAGGAAGAAAAGGTCTCCTGAAATCTGATTGGTCCATTTTTTGACCAATGGGATCACGAGATTCTATTTCTCAGTGATGGAAGCGACGAAGGCCCACACATATACCCCTCATTCGATAGAGAAACCTCGATAACCTTATGATGGGCCCGAACATGACCGGTGGTTGTCCGAAGAATAAGAAAGAAAAGGCCCCGTGAAATTTTATTGGTCGAAAATCTGATGAAGAACATCCCAGGAAGAGTTTTCCCGTATGTTTTGGTGAGAATGAGAAGTGATGCTACAGCGGATGTTACAATTTTCCGGTGACCGTACAATTCGTCGCACGACAATTCGTCGCGTACAATTCGTCGCGAAC